GCCATCGTTCAATTCTTGATCCGAGCGTCTTCTGTCCCCACCGCCTCTCCCCCCGTCTTAAACGCCCTCAAAGCAATCTCCTCTTGGCAAGGTGGGCCCACTTCGGACACACAAAGTCTGGCCTCCGCCTCCCGTTGCGCGTCCTGCAGGAAGCCCCGACTCACGACAAAGATGTCCTCGATCACGACCACCGGAAGGTCCGCCCCCCGGCCGTGGGAGAGGCACTCATTCAGCATCAGCGCTGCCCCCGAGGTCCTGGCAGGGGCGGCACGAGAAGAGAGGATGGGGGGAAGAACGCTCGGAGCCTCCAACCAGGAGCGGCGGGCAACGCAGTCTTCCATGTGCCCTTCCAGGGCTCTGACTATGGCGGCATCCACAACCAGCTCCTTCCCCACCTGGATCGCGCCCGGAAAGGATTGCCGCAGGTACTCCAACGGCCGCCGCACTTGAAGTTTGTGCGCCCGACTGCATTCCATGTACCCATTCTGTCCAAAGAAACCCTCCATACAGGCACGTTGCATGCGCCTGAACACCGCAGGGACGTACTGCCGACCATTCAGGGCCCCGACAACCACCCCCTCCCGAACCAACGCCGGCCACACGTCCTCTATCAAGCTTTCCTCCACGCTGTAACGCCCCGCCAGGTCTCCCAAAGTGATAGGCTGCGAGACTCCCGCCAATACACCGCGGATGCGGGATTTCTGTCGCTCGTCGTATTCCGCTGTACACAAGGCACCGTTCCGAAGTTTCGCCGGCAGACACGCCTGTGAAATACCCGGTTCCTTGGGCACAGCCCCCACATCACCCGCAACCCGCGCCTTGATTGCAGCTTCGGTAAGAGGTACGGGGAGCTTGAAGACACGTGCCGCAAGAGTGGAAATGGCGAGTCTACCGCCCGCCTCAGGAAGCATTTGGGTAAGGACCTCTGAGACCAGATCGTCAAGGTACCAGGCGGCTATCAACTCCCCACCCGAAAGCAGGCAGCCGCCCTCCAGATCCTCCTCCACAATGCGCGCGGCGGCCCTTTGAATGTGAACCATGTCCACGTTCAACAGAGGCTGGATGTCAGCGAGGGCAAGTCGGCCCCCCGCAGACAACAACTCATCCTGGAGCTCCAAAAGAAGTTGCTCGGGGGTAAGAATTTCTTTGCCGTCGGAAGTGTAGATGACGTCGAGCCTACCCAATTTACACAGCTTCACGACGATTTCAACGCAGTTTCTTTCGCTCAGGCAATGTGAGGTGTCTTCTGCTTGCACCGCCACAAGCTCGCGTTGAAGGGCCAAAATTTCATCCATTGGCAAGGTTCCGGCTTTGACGGATGAACTCAACGCAGCAATGTATGCGCCCAATGCTTGGTTGGAAAGGTGTCAACAAGGGTAACGTGCTTGAGCGTACCAATCATGACGGTCTGTCGAGGCAGCTTTACTCCGATCCGTAGGCATGCCGGCAAGGACTGGGAGTAGGGAAAGTATTACTTCTAAGGCTCATTTCAGAGTTAAGGGTGAAGACAATATCGACGTCCCATCCCTTCTCCATGCTAAGCCTCGAGGTTCTCACAAAGCAAGGTCTCTTACAAGGCGTTGACGAGGGAGGCGTAATCGAGTGCTTCCCTAAAGCATGGTAAAAGGTGTTTAGGATTGAGTTGATGAGCGAAGCGTGATAGAATGCTTCCCTCAAGCTTCATAAATAGCAAGGTGTGCACATTTAAGTTGCTGAGGGGGGCGTGATGGAGTGCTTCCCTCAAGCTTCGCAAAAAGCAAGGTGTCGCAGTTTAAGTTGCTGAGGGAGGCGTGATGGAGTGCTTCCGTAGAGCATCGTAAAATGCAAGGTGTGTGCTTTTAAGCTGCTGAGGGAGGCGTGATGGTGTGCTTCCGTAGAGCTTCATAGTAAGCAAGGTACCTCAAGTAAAGCTGCTGAGGGAGGCGTGGTGTAGTGGTTATCACGTTTGTTTTACGTACAAAAGGTCGAGGGTTCAATCCCCTCCGCTTCTACACTTTTTGCGGCCCCTCCTCCAACTGTGGCTTAGACCCCAGACATGTGCTGTCATCGCATCATGTTGGTTGACATAGGAACCGTCCGTGGGTGTGACTTTTTAGGGCTGTTGTGTGTTTTTGGGGCGGGTGTTTATTTGACGAAGGGCGGAAGCGGCGGAGGGGCCGGTGGCTCATGCAGTGGCCTTGCGCTCCCCTACTCTCTTAAGCGTGACCGCAGAAAGACCGCGCGTCTTCGCGTCGTCGGGACTGGTCCGTCTCCAACTGTGCGTGTTATATTCTCGCGGTCCTGCCGTGGTTGACTTCGTTGTCGGGAGAGATTTCCACTTGCATGTGTTTTGTCGGCCTCGCATCTAGCTAGGGCGATTCTCATGCGTTCTCATCCCTTCCCAAAATGCTCATTGACCAGACTCCTCTCGGATTTCCTCCCTAATTTTCATTTTTTGTGCAATCCACTTGAACATAGGCTTG